TTAATAAAAATCTATTTGAGCTTTGAATTGAGTCAGACGTCACAAGGTTTTCAGTTTTATTACTCGAGGACTAAAAGCTTCATGTGTTGCTTCAATGTGAAGATGCTTCACATCATGTGAACTGAAGCGCTGCAGAGAAAACACTGCTCCAAAAAGCACTGAATTAGATTAGTTCTAGTGGCGGAGCTGAATCAATTTATGATCACATGCTTTTTCTTTGCGTGAAGGACAAAACGTCTTAACCCTCCAAAACCGAGCAGATCATTCTACTTCCAGTCGTAACTTCTCTGCAGCAGTTTTGACTGAATCCTTCTGACTGCGCGGCAGATGTTCCCTGTGTATCCTGCAGGGCAGAGCGGGCTGCGGCATAAATCTGCTCCACCGTGTCCCCCCCCCCCACGTCTACTTACTTCAAGACTTGTGACAGAAATGCTGAATACGAATTAAAAAGCACAATAAAGGTGATTCTCAAAGTTTCCTTCTAAATAAAATGAAAACAAATCCACGGAAAACGACTAAAATATGCAAGATGTTTTTTTTTACTGACATGTGCAGCATCTCTCTAATGTGGACATTTACAAACTCCCTTTTCTCGTCCTCCCTCTGAATTAAACTCACCTGTCCAAATCCTGCCATGGATTCCTGGGAGCCCTCCTGCTCTCCGTCTCGTCTCCCTTCCTCCAAGGCATAGACGGTCCCGTCAGTGTCCTGTACCCCTTCATCCTTCACCACCACTCCCTCGCCTCCCAGCACCTGAAGAGAGAAAAGAGGTCCAATTTGAATTTTGAGCAGCAAAAGATGATCAGGTTTTCATCAGCGGTAGGAGCAGCAGATGGTCTGTAAGAACAACAGTGCATTGACTCGGCTTCAATCAGGCACTAGCAATTTTTTTACGACGTACAGTAAATATGCAGAAGTCCATAGAACATCAACAAGGAAATTACTGCTGAAATGAAGACGAGAGCTTCTCTTCAATTGTGCAAAGTGCAGAAACATCTCAGCGATATACGCCAATGCAGTGTGAGAAGAGGGAAAAGCAGAAAAAGAAAGAAAAAGCAAACCGTTGCAGCTCTGCATGCCTGAAAGCTGTAACCATGGCAACCCTTCCCCTTATCCCCCTACCTGGAGTCTTAGCGGCTGCCTCTGCTTGCGGCTGTGGCTCGCCCCCCTGTCTCTGTCTCCGTCTCTCCCCCGCTCTCTGCCGTCCAAGTCATCCTCCTCACTGTATCTGTCCATCCCCACCAGGTCATCAGAGAGGTCGGTTGTGTTGCCGCGGAGGCTGTCCCTGCCGATGCTGTCCACGCTGGCCACACCGGAGCTGCAGCCCGCTGAGAGGTTCCCTGTGCTACTAGTGTTGGCTCCATTGGCCGTCTGTGCCAACAGGTCTCGGAGCTTGTACCTGACGTCCTGAGTACAGCTGGAGCTCTGCTTCATGAGGATTGTGCCGGCCCCAGAGCCCATCCCGTCACCACACATGGAGCCGGGGCCCATGTCGCCCAGCGCCATCAGACTCACTGTGTTACCTTGTTCCATCGGACCTGGGCCGCCCTCGGTGACACTAACGCTGGCACCCCCTAACCCAGCGCCCATGTTACTAGCCCCACACTCAGCCATGAAGTTGGAGAAGTTTGCATAACCCCCACCTGCTCCACCAACAGAACAGCTTCCATTGCCACCGCTCTCTCGCCCTTTGCCCCCGCCACGCTCTTCCTGTTTAGGGAGAACTCCTCCCAGCATAGCGCTTCCCGCCGCTGCTGCGGCAGCGGCCGCAGCCGCCGCCCCTGCTGCTGCCTTCCTCTGCGAGATTATCTGGGTGCACTCGTCGATGACCGTCTTGATCTGCAGGATACTGGCAGCGGTGAGGATGCAGAGGGCCTGCGACTGCAGCACCACCAGCGAGCCGCTGTACATGAAATCCACGAGCTGCTTCACGGTTTCTGCGGGCACCAGAGGTGGCACGGAGATTTCAGAGTGACCCAGCAGCAGCTTGTCCTGGAAGAAGGGGCTGCCAGCCGCAAGGACGCAGGCGTGGGCACGGAGCGAGGCGTCATGTATCCGCACGGTCACATCGCAGAAGAGGCCCTCGCGCCGCTGCGTGCGCAGGGCTTCCAGCACCGACTGGCTGGAGTTGTGGAGGTGGATGTAGTGCACAGTCTCTGTGCCAGATGCCATGGTGGGAGGTGGCGAGTCGCTGGGGACTGGGTGGGAATGGGGGTGGGGGAGGGGGGGGAGGTGCCTGGGGTTTTGCGTCAGCTTGAGGGAGGAGTAGGACAGGGAGGGAAACGGGTACAGTGCATGGGCCACGGTGGGGCTGTGTCCCTTCAAACAGTCATGGGTCTGATGGAAGCTTTCAAACTGCTGCTGTGCTGTGGGAGTGTGACGAGCTGCCTCTGTGGTCCTGAGACGATGAAGGGGACGTTTCCACCGGTGTCACGCTCTCTGTTAGAAACCAAAAAAAAAGACTGATTACACACCGAGCCGCTGTTTTACATGTTACATTAGTGACAGAAACATCATTTGATGGATTAATTAAACATTGTGCCAGTTAACTCTGACGAGGAGGTTTTTATTTGCAGGATTATGCAAAAACTTAATTGAAACTTGGCGGAGGGGTGAGGGGCCAAGAAAGACTGTCGGAGCAAATCTGATTAAGAAGGTGAATTAAACAGATGATGCAAAGATCTTGATGAAAAATGTTTTAACACATTTTGGGTCCAGAAGTGTAATTTGGTGCAGCTTGATTGGATTCAATGTGACTTCTATGAATTCTAGAAACCTCCGTCTGTATGTGACTCGCACATCTCGAGAACTGTTCTGTTATTGGATGAATTTGTGCTGAATATTGTTAAATTCAAACACGTGTAATTATAGTAAAAAACACGCGACTGTTGTTCTGTAGCTGCAGCGACGGAGGACGCCGTGAAACCCGGGCCAAGAAGGAGGCGGTCTTTGCGTTCCGGCTAGAACGAAGGCAGAACCTAAATGAGACGGTCCGGTCTACAGAGGATTTCCCCGTAATCGGTGTCATCAGCTTGTCCCGCCGTTATTGCTGTTGCCTAGCAACAGAGCTGCAATTGGACAAGATGAGAAAGTTTGAATGCTGATGGGTTTTGTAACACGTCTGACATTAGATGTCTCATTAAGACGAGACACGTGACGCTCGATTACTGGACCTCTCGTCCAGTCGCATGCCAGAGCCATCACCTCTTTCGAAAAACCCGTTCAAATCACCGAAGCACAACCAGAGTTGATTTAAAAAACCCATATTCACAGATCCCAATTTGTCTAGTAGATCTTAATGACGTGCGACGCGATGTGCTCTTATGTCATAACGTGAGTGAGGGAACACTAACGAAAGAGAGAGCCACATGTGAGGGATCCTCTCCCAGGACAGATGTGCACTAGATGTCCGTGCAGCAGTGAATCCTGGGATTGCTCGGGCTGGGAGGGATGGTCAACTGCATTTAAGAGGAGCCTGTCCATCCACGGTGATGCAACAGTTCTTCAAGTGCATCCTCTGACACTGAAGTGTGTCTGGGTTCTGCCCACACTGAAGAGAACACAGAACTCTGTGTGCATGGACCAGTCAGGTCACTTTCACAGTCCTGTGCTTTGTTACCGCAGGACTCTCTGACACCAGCTCGGTGAGTTGTTGGTCAGTGTCACTGTGGCTGCAGGTCCTCGCGTGCAACATCGTGAACACCTGAGTTTTAAGCCATGGCACGTGTCGCGCGCGAGCCCTGCAGCCGCTGCACGGGGTCACTTCAACCGTGTTGGTGTGCGTGCGTGCGTGTGCGTGTGTGCATGTGTGTGTCCGTTAACGTTACCGAGAGACACAAAGAGCTGAAACGCCCCCGGTGTGTGGACGTGTGGCAGCTCCCCGGTCCCTCAGGTAACCGAACCGCCAGCGGTAACGGCGACGGACGGGGCTAACGCTAGCTCGCGTTAGCTGTTGACATTAATCGCGCGGAAATTCGCACGGAACGCGCAGAGTCCAAGCAGCGGGACCGAGCACCGGCGACACCTAAAGCACCGACGAGCGTTTTCACATGTGGAACAGCTGCTGGCAGCGCGTGCGACACGACACAAAAACAACCCCCCTCACGCTAGCCTAGCTACGCTGCTAGCTAGCTAGCGCAAATTGCCATACACAACTAGAGGAGTTAGCATGCTAGCTGACGCGCTAGCAGCCTTTTATCACCGACACCACCACCACCACCCCCTCCCCTCCCCCCCCCAAGCCCCCGTTGCTCCCCGTTAACGTTACAATCCGCCCGTTTCCAGTCGGTGTCAGTGCGCGTGGTTGTGTTTGATGGTGACCCACAGACCTGCGGGGCCGCCGCTCCTCGGTGTCCGGCGGGTGGATGCAGCAGGAAGCCCTCGGTGGTGTAAACGCACCCGACCGACCTGGTGAGAGCTGCAGACAAACATGCACACAAACACACACACACACAC